TGGGGGGGGGGGGGGAGAATAAAGTTACCTCGGGAATGGTGCTCCCTTTATCTTCAAACTCGAAATTGTCATCTGCAATCCATGAAAAAATGCTTTGTCCCTTGGCAGCAAGCATTGAACCAAAATCTTGAGTAAATCCTCCAATATCTGTAATATTACGCAGAAGTTAATCATCATTAATAAAATGGCATCTCATTCAACCGCATCTAAGTTCTAAATAGCGTAATGTCGTGTGTGTGCGTAATTGTTTTGCACTATCAATTTCGGGAATTATAAACACAGACGACGACGACGACTACAACCAGCGGGAGAAATCCTAATAAATGCGGCTTAAATTCAATCACATGCAAAAAACATACCGTACATATCATCATGGAACAAAGGAAAAGCTTCGGGAGAATAATTTGCAGGAGACTGATCTTTGGCATCTGAAATTAATTGAGCATAATCTGCACCCTTACTTCTAGGCACAACGAAATCACTCAACTGATTTGAGGTTCCTTGGGCTTCTTCCGAATCCAAATTAAGATCTTCATCGTAGCGTTCCCAATTCGAAGGGAGCCTTGAGCCTTCCGATTGAGGCGGTTTCTCTTTAGATTGAATGCCAGTTGGCTTCTTAGGACCTGAATTCGTGGACGACGCAGGTCTCGATGCTTGGTGGGGATGATGCTTCTTACTATGATGGAGTGAATGAGCTCTCTTCGATTTTGCCAATGCTTTTGTATCCATAATTACTCTACCTACGTAACAACGGCAGCAGCAGAAGTTAAGGTGAAAAGTTCAAAAGGGGAACTTTAAAAAACACTGTTTAGCATCTGTAAGCTAACGAGTCAGCCAAAATCAATCTGTTCCAATTTGGCAAAATAGAGTGGAGGAAAAAAAAACTGAATAGAAAAAGTAGAAGAATCTTAAAAAGATGGGCAAATTACGGCCACACCTGAGTTATGGTCAAATTACGAAAACCCCCTCTTGTTTGGGTAATTACAGTCACCCCTCAACTACCCCTCAACTATGTATTATCTTACGAAAAGACCCCTCCAGAGGTAAATTTAGGAATGTTAATTCGGTAAAACTGAACCGAAATTTCGGTACGCCAACATTTCATACCGTTTTCCCGAACTAAATATACCAATTTTGGTTCGGTAAATAACCGAATAAACATCCGTGAAAACGAGAGGGGTGGCCGTGATTTGCCCTAAATAGATTAAATGAATGCTTCACAACAAAACGAGACCCGAAGAATGATTCACCACTGGCTACAATAAATTAACAACAATTACATTTAATTCACAACGAAACGAGACCTGAAGAATCATCACACAGTAAATATTTATATTTTCACCGCATCGTTAAACCTAATAATCTGTGAAGCAAACATAGCAAACAAATTTCAACATTTACATTTCAAAACTGATCAATTGAAATTCACAAGTTGTAGATTGTATTATCGTAGCGAAAATACTACTAACCAAATTGAGTCGAAACTGGAAATTGATTGCAGCTTGTTTTCGATGATTCGTGCGGCAACGAATGGGTGGAGGAAGAGGAGCTAGGGCTGCTGGAATGGCGATTCTCTGTTGCGGATTTTCTTCTTCTTCTTTGCTGCCGTTGTATCAGATTTATGGAAGAGGTTTTACCTAATTTTTCGATTGAATCAGAACTATAATTAATTGTAAATAGCACTTAGACCCCTTTTGGTTTCATAGTTGTGCACATTACCCCTATTTCATATCGAAATAGGCACATAAACCCCTTGCGGTTTGAATCAAGTCAATTCGACAACAGAAAATGTGAAAAGACTAAATTGCCCCTGGAAGTTAGCCGAGAAAATGTTTAAATACACACAATTAACAAAGTTAAATCATAATTTAAACTCAATTTTACTAATTGATCATTTTTTATCGTTTACAGCCACCGGGCACCGACCACAAACTGACCGATCAACGCTGGCGCGTTTTATTTCTTTCTACAATCTCCCTCATGAATATTGTTGTGTTGAACAATAATTATTCTTTTAATTTCTTTTCCCGGCAATGTTTTTGTGTCGATTGATCAGTACATCAACATTAATAATTAATATATATTTTTTCTGCAATGTTGTTGTTTTGATCAATAATGTTACTATGTTGATCGATCAATTCAACAATATTATTTTTTCTGACTGATATTTTTTTAATTTGTTGGCTATTATGTTGTGGCCGATAGTATTACATCACTATTATATTGCGGTGAAAAGCATAATATCGTTATTTTGTTATTGTCACACAACATAATGACGCCTATTGGCTATTATATTTTGGTCAACGACATAATAGCGCTATTATGTTGTGCTCAACAATATAATAGAGGTGGTTATTTATAAAAATAGCAGGAAAATAAACTTTTTTTAATGTTGATGTGTTTACCGGTCAACGCAACAACACATTGTTGAAAAAAAATTATCCCCGCGTACAGGGATAGTTTTAAAGCTTGCCAATTCATTAGCAATGTAAAACTAGAAAATGCAATTTTCGAAGCCGGGTTGTTTGAAGGCCGTTTTGTTCGTCACCGGCAATAATTCTTCTTCCTCGATCTGCTAAGGTGCTAATTGATGAGATTAGAAAACTTTCATATAGCTTAATTAATTGGAGAACTATTTCATGGTTTTGTGACGGGATCCTCTTTTCATTCCTCATTTTAATGCAATCTTTTTTTTTACTTATAAAAATATATGAAAATCGGACGGAACGGATTTTCGATTTTTGTTTTATTTGTTTCGGAAGTTGAAATTATGTACAATTTTCGTTCCAAGAAAAAAAAAAAAAAAAAAATACTTCAAAAACATGTTTTGATTTCGGAATGCCTCAAAATCTGCAGAATTTCGGAATTTTTGGAAATGGCGTGACCTTAATTTTTTTGTTCAAATTCGGTAATAATCGGAAATTCGGAAACCAGAATAAAAAACACAGGTTCCAGATTCGATTATTTTAGAATAGGAATCGACGACGGAATTCAGAAATTTCGTTCCGATTTCCACCCCTAGATTTGATTTGTTTTATCTTATTGGATCAGGCTGTGTTTTATCCAGATGGACCTCAAATTGAAGTAGAGGCCCAATTCGTATGGACTTTCTCTTGTGGGGTCAAACTTTGTTTTTTTTTTTTTTGAAAAAACAAAGAGCAGCTTATATTATTGACGCCAAATCGGCAGGAAGATCAAGAGCTTCCAAAGTATCAGTACTCGATAAAGTAAAATGTGCTAGTGCATGGGCTAGCATATTCCCCATTCGACGAACAAAGGAACAAGAAAAAATAGTAAAAGAGCTAGAAAGGTCAAGTAGAGAAGTGATTATCGCCCCAAACGGAAGATGAGGGTCGACCACTTTACGTTGAATTACCGAAATGATTTGTGCGTTATCGCCTTCGAGAATTACCTGCTGCCAACCACGAGCTAATGCGAAACGTACGCCCTCTAGTGCCGCCCGTGCCTCTCCAGCTGCTGCATCTGGTTGCCCAGTAAGACGACGAACACTCCAACCCAGGGTCCTTCCGTCGTTACCCCGGGCCACCACCGCCACTTGGTATTTATCCTCCGCAGTAAAACCCACATCAAAGTTAATTTTTATAATTGAAATCGGCGGTGTCTGCCAGCAGGAGCTCATCACGCTTTGTGTCGAAAAACGGGGAAGTAAAGCATCTCTGTAAGAGTTCAGGAAATGCGAGGCCCATTCGAGAATATCTTCACCAATTCCCCTCACCTCTCCATGTACAATTTTATTTCTCACATGCCAAATCCTCCAGCAAACCACACAGGCTAAAAGGAAGGTATCCCCATCAAGGCAAGACCGCAGAAGTTTGAACCAGGCCGCGAAGTTGGTGTGGACAGCTGGTACCGTAAGGCTGAAAGTTGGAGCTTGCCACACCGGAGTAAAAGTTGGGCACTCGAAAAAGGGGTGAACCGTAGTTTCCAGTCTAGTAACACACAATGGGCAAAAGGGGTTACCTTCGAGATGTCGTCGCGCCATTAGAACTCTAACTGGGAGGGCGTCATTGCAAGCTCGCCAGATGAAGGTGCGGATTTTAGGAGGAAGTTGGAGGCCCCAAATCCACTTCCATTCGCTAGAGGAGAGCGTGCTATCCATAGTCGAGGAAGAAATCGGTAGATTCGACACTTGCGCCAATATTTGGTGGTAGCTCGATCTCACGGAAAATTTTCCATTCTTAGAAAAGAACCAGTAAGGGTAGTCCGGTGACTCGAACGTCCCAATCGGGACTTTGAGGATGCTAACAATATCGCATTCCCATAGCACCTGTCGCATGCTATGCAAATCCCATGCGCCAACATCCCAATCAATTAGCTCGCCAACCGTGTTTGGAGAAGAGGTATGAAATGGCCTTTTGGTAATCACCTTGCCTGATCCTTCCGAGTTGAGCCAAGCGTCCCCCCAAATTGATGTACTTGCCCCGTTTCCAATGCGCCTCCGTAATCCTGCTTCGAGATGTGGTCGTGTGAGCAGAATACTTCTCCAGGTCATAGACAATAAAAATAATATAAAAAGACACAATGAATTACTTAAAAAAATTAATCTTTGAGTTATATGATAATAACAAATTTATATATAATCTGTTGTGTTTTTCCTAAACTCGAAGTGTAACCTCTAAAAATTCGTCAAAAAAACTATATTAATTTAAATTAATAATTATAAGAACGAGTTGAACACATGTAGCAAAATGATACTAATTCTTTGCCGATTAACGAAAGTACAGTTAAATCTCAATAAATCAATACAGTTGGAATTAACAAAATTCTATTAATTTAGCGGAATATTAAATTATCGAATTAATAATTTAATTCATTATCAATCAATCGGGACAAGAAAAAAATATTATATAATTAAGATTATTAATTTATTAAGGTTTTACTATACCTCTACTTTACTTTGTATTGATTTGGATTGTTGGAATAACAAATTGATCTAACTATAACAATATTTTATGTTTTAAATTGGCCTTCGGTCCTTTCGCCTAACAAAACTACATATTAAAAAGCTTAAAAGCAACTCTTGCACTAAATTAATTCAAAAATCCTTACCAAATAAGATTCTTTTCTTTGGGTGGTGGAAATAGTATATAAAATTGGGTTGTCATAAAAATCACACTTAGGCCAGTGAAAGAGCCATGTTTAAACTTAAAGAATGAATTGAAGTGTGAATAAATAGTAAATTGCAGATCTTGGAATTTTAATAATTACAGATTAAATAGTTGCACTCGATCACTCTTCTTTTTCTTTTTTTTATATATATATATATATATATATATATATATATATATATATATATATATATATATATATATATATATATATATAAAGTAAATTCAAATCTTTTACAAGGGAGAGTAAGGGTACTCTCTTAATAAGTGTTGGTTAGTTATACTCAATTACTTGAAACATATTTGTTATGTAGCTTATATCTTCCTTTAATCTAGAAGGGGAGGGAAAAAAAAATTAATTGCTACGTGTAAATTGTACATCTTGGGCTTTTTTGCTTTTTTTTTTTTTTTCCCCTTTTTAACTTAAGAAATAAGGTGGTGTTTGCAAAGCTTGTTTTTGCTCGTAACTTATTTTTAGGTGTTTGCAAAATCAACTTTTGCTTTTACTTCTCTTGAAATAAGTTGCTGTAAGCTATTTTTTTTAAATCACCCGTAGACCTACTTTTTCTATTTAAGTTGATTTCTAGCATATTTACAAACACCCCAACTTTTAGAAATAAAAACTTTAACTCACTATTTGTAACTTCTACTTTTGACTAAAGTCTTGCAAACATCACCTAAAAGCGTTATAGATGAATCAATAAATTTGGATTGGGAAATTTACAGTTTTCATTCATCACGTTTGCAACAATTTCACATTTGGTCTCTTATTCACAAAAAAACACATTTGGCCCCTCATGTTTTAAAAAATTGACATTTTTTGTCATTTCCATCAATTTACCATCAACCCGTCAGTTACGTAGTGATGGGAACACATTTGATTCCGTTAGTTTTAACGGAAGATTGTCGGAAAAGACTAAGAGTGTTGAATTTTTGAAAAATAAGGGACAAAATGTGTGTGTTTGGGAACATGGGGACCAAATGTTGAATTTGAACAAACTTAAAGGATGAAAACTGTATTTTTCTCAATTTGGATTTCTCAAAACACGATTCCCTCTTGTTTTTTTAATAGTACAAACATGTGAAATATAATTCTCCAAAAGATTCTCATATTCGGCGAACAATACAGAGTTTAATATACTACATTTATTTCGATCAATGCTATACTGAGTGAAGTATACCGAGTATATATTTATTCATATACAAAAATAAACATATAAACAGTTTATGGATGATTACAATATATATCAATATATATTGTATGTTATATCTAACAATGTTGTTCCTTAAAATGATAGTCTAGTTATTTGAATCATATATTCAAAAGGCTAGAAAAAGTGATATATATACATCGCACGGTCGCACCTAAAGCTAAGGGTTTTGTGGTCATTATTTAGTTTTCGTACTTCTTTTTATATTAAAAGAAGAAAAAAAGAAGAAAAAATCAATTAAATATTTTCATATGTGTCTACGAAGAACATCTCCAAGAGTGTAATGTAAACCTATATTTTACACAATATGAACAACCAAGAGCAAAATAGTGAGCTCCAAGAAGAAAATGCATAATTAAATTGTAACTTTGGCTTCTCAACTAGGAGAA